TTTGATCATGTTCGATACCTTGGACATAGGGGTACGACAGTTAATTTTTGAGACATAAGTCTGCCAGGATTGACGTTTATTTTGTTTGAATAGACGTCTCGCCTTAGCATTTGAAATTTTGACGATGTTCAAGTTATGGACAGTAGGATGTTTACGGAAGTATTTCTCCGCCTTCTTACGACATTTCCTAGCGTGTTTGCAAGTGTCATCAAACCACGGTTTACGAACACGTGGGTTGATCGAGGACTTAGGTATTGATTCATCAGCAATTTCATTCAGTTGATCTGAGAACAACTGAATTGGGTCAATGACATTCTGAAAAGACGTAGGCTGTAATTTATCTTTGCATAAAGATTGAAATAAAAGCCAATCAGCCTTCACAAAATTCCATCGAGGTGAAGGTGGATCATCAGTGGGATGAATGGGTTTAAGCACCGTGGGGAAATGGTCACTCCCACATAGGTCATCATGGACTGACCATGAGAATTCGTTTAACAAAACTGAATCCGTCAGAGACAGATCTAGAGATAAATATGTGCCAGTAGCAGGGTGTAAGTAAGTGTCGGAGTCATCATTAAAAATGCAAAGATCATTATCAGAAACAAAATCCTCGATCACTTTTCCCTTTTGATTAATGGTTGAACTTCCCCATAAAGGATTATGCCCATTTAGATCACCCATGATGACACAGGGCTTTGGGAGCTGGTCGTATAGTTTTTGTAGATCATTACGCTGAAGATTTGAAGATGGAGGAATGTATAAGGAGCAAAGTGTGAAGGCAATATGCAGTGTAAGTCTAACTGCAACTGCTTGCAAATTCGTGTCAAGCGGAACAGGACTGTGAACAACGCCCCGCCGCACCAACATAGAAGCTCCTCCAGTAGCTTTATCTCCTGGAGGAGAAAAAGAATGATAGGAACTATTCTGCCTCAATTCAAATTTATCTGTATTTTTTAAGTACGTCTCTTGTAAACAAATTGCTGATGGAATAAAATCTGTTGTTAATAACTGTAGTTCATTAAAATTGTGCCTAAGCCCTCTGCAATTCCACTGTATTATGGTGGACAATTGAGTCATGGAGGCTCAATTGGAGATCGCTCGCGTGAATGTGAGGAGGAACTACTCCTCCGCCTGTCCTGTGAGGACAGAGTAACCTCCATGTCCAGAGGCCCAAAAGAGTTCTGTAAACCTCTGTAAACCTCTGAAGGTGAAGGGACGATTGGTAGTTGTTTTTTCTTCAATTTCCTTTTTCTTTATTTGACAATTTGACAACGAATGGTTGATTGACTGATGTTTGAGATTGATTCTCAGCCTGAATCTCAGTCTGAGATCCTGAACTAGATAGACTAATGGTAGGAATATCCTGACTGATGTGAACTGTCGCAGCTGGTTGGTCTGACTTGACCCATGTCAAGTCAGTCTGGCACGAAATAGTTGATGACGCAACAGAGCGAGTGACTGCAGCGGAGTAGGAAATAGTATTGGGCTGATTTTTTAATATTTTTTTTGCATCCAAGTAGGATATGTTTCGTTCGCATTTCAGTTTCATAATTTGTGATTCCATTTGCCACACAGGGCATGATTTGGAGGAAGCAACATGTGGTCCAGAACAGTTAGCGCACTTCAAATCCTTCTCACAGTCAGTGCTATCATGGCTGTCACCACACCGATGACATGCCACAGAGCTATGACAGGACTTTGATCCATGACCAAAACGTTGACACTTGTAGCATCGGAGCGGATTGGGGACATACACATCCACTCCGATACTGAAATACCCTGCTTTTATTGACTGTGGGAGGGATGTACGGGCAAACGTCAGAAGATACGTATTTGTGTTCGTGATGACACCGTCCTTCTTGAATGTGAAGCGTCTAACTGCAGTTACAGCCTGGTCTCCCAACTCTGTAGTGATTTCTTCTTCAGACATGTCGGACAGACAACGAGCCCTGTCACGAACAATGCCTCGACAAGAATTTAATGTTCTGTGCTCAGACACAGCAACCTCAATATTTGCAAATGTAGAGATAGATAAAAGATTGAGAGATTGCTGTCTCCGAGCACACTCCACCAGAAGCGAACCACTACGGAGACGGGTAACGTTCTTCACCTCACCGCAAATCCAAGAAACAGCCTTAGAAATAGCAAAAGGATTGAGTTTGATGGGAAGGTTATCAGCAGCCTCAATAACCAGGAATCTAGCCCAGGTATCAATATTTTGAGCAATACTTCCAGTTGAAATATCGATTTCTTCTAATCTTCTCTTTTTTTCATTTCGAGATGAACCAGATTGTTGTTGAGCCATGATGAAAGAAAATTATTCAGCACCCCTGCTCCCCACCCGCCACCGAGTGTCACCAGGGACAGTGTTATGTTGCATCGGATATCCAGGATGCAAACACCAGGGATACAGGGATGTTATACTCCAGAGAATATGACGCGAACAGCTGTATTTGTTTACCAACTCAATGCCAGACTGGTTAGGCCCATGACAAGAAATTGAAAACATACATTATTCGGAGGTCAACATCACCAGATTGGCCCATGAGCCACCGCCTTCTGGCGTAAGACTCTAGGCAAGTAATTCAATTCACACAAGTTATGGATGACCAAGACCAAAATGTACATTACAATACAACACAGGTGTGCATAGACAATATTACGCACAGGGCCTGGCATGACCAGCCGATTGATAAGACCGGGCCCATCTTACCACCCGTCTAGGCGAAGTAAGGGTCGAAGTAGTGTGTTGGGCAAAGGAACACAGTTCCAGGAACCAGTGCCCTCAACTACCAGAATCCCGTCCTCCGCCGACACAGGGACGCAACCCACGGCAAACGGGCTGCCCACTTTTGTCGCCTCTTACGACCAGCAATGGGGTGCTGTGGAAATATTCTACCCCGGTTCCACACGGGGGAAGAGCTATTAGCGCTACCCAGCACTCACCACGAGGGCCTTACTGTATCAAGACAAAAGTATTACTGGCCGTTCTCATACTTAAGCCCCGAGCTTAACATTACCAGTGGAAACAAATATAGTGCTACAGCACTGTAGCTCACCGGGAATATTTGGTAAAGCTAACAATCTAGTAGATTTATAGAGAAGATGTCAACCACCAGGGCGGCCATTTTTATCATTGGATCTGGATGATCTAAATATTTGTCTTAATGTAAGGTTTTCAAGAAAATGTCTCTCCAATACATCAGGGCCTGGCCAGAATTTTCTACATACTTTGGTTTGACTTAGTAGTTTTACCCACAAGATAACTAATGATGCTAAAGGTGGATACCACAACTTTTCCTTTTCCAGCTTTGATGATTGCAAAGTTCAACGAGCTAAAGACCGGGTGGTTCGCGAGATCATGCTGAACTATTCTGGGAAGCCATGGGCAAACATTGAGACATTGAGTGGTAAGTATCAGTGAAAGTCATTAAGTTAATAGCCCTGCATTACAAGGGGAACCACTTGGGTTGAATGCAAATTTTGCCAAAGGTGTTTGTGACATTAAGTAGAGGAGTGATTGGTTTTACGTCGCTTTTAGCATTACGGCATTATTACGGAAATAGCCCCAGAAATGGGCTTCACACAATGAACTCATGTCGGGAATTGAACCCAGGTCTTTGGCGTGACGAGCGAATGCTTTCAACACTAGGCTACCCGACCGCCCCTTTAGTAGAGGGAATTCAATATATATAGCCAAGCATGTAGTGTGACATGTTTGATTTCTGAGGAATGTTGGGTTGTAGCACAAGGATCAATTAAAGGAAGGGGGTCTGCACTACAATAGTTGTCAATATAATAATCTGTGTTGGATTTTGTTTATAAAATTTGAAGTACCAATGATTTCTTAATGTCAATACTTTCATTCAACTTGACAAAGCATTGCTGACAATTAAGGGAGATTCTAAAAGTTCTGTTGTTGCCAAAGGCGCTTGTGTCATTAAGTAGAGGAGTGAGTATGGTTTTATGCCGCTTTGTGCAACATTCTAGCCATATCACGGCAGGGGACACCAGAAATGGACCTCACACATTGTCAGGAATTTAACCCAGGATTTCGACTTGACGAGCGAAAGCTTTAACCACTAGGCGACCCGACCACCCCTAAGTGCCTAACACATGAACAAATAAAGAGTAGACATAGCTTACTGAGGTTTAACTTATAAATAATACTTTGATCCCTGTTGTTGCATCATAGAATGATGCATTGTGGGAAATGACAAAGTTACAAGTGTTTGTGATAGGAAAATACTAACCAGATTTTGCCTCTTTCAAACATCCAAATCATAATGATTTATAGGAATGTTTTAACAATCTTTATACACCTTTCCAAGGAAACTTTCTAGTTAAGATACATATTATTAATATCTTATCAGCATTTAACTTATTTGAAAGTAATTTGTGTAAGAAAGCTTAATCCTATATATTACTTGTAGTTTCATTAAGCAACTGTTTCTTAAAGATAATATCTGCTATATTGCCTGTAGTTCTGAATTTATCGATGTGACTATGATGAAAAATGTTTATACTTTCCTGATTAATTGACAATCATGGAAAGTCATTTATCTGATTGCAGTGGTTTACATTTCATACTTTCATTTTTTAACATTTGATTCAGTTACATTATCAATTTCTCATATTGCATTTAGCTTTATGCCATTTACATGACAAAAGTTTTATTGTCAAATTGATATGAAGAACCTTTTCATAACAAGGCAATGCTTGGTATACTTGGAAGAACTTAGCATTAAAGTAAACTGATTCTAAGCAAAACAAAAAATAAAATATTATCTCATTGCATGATCAGGGTAAGTTATCAGCTACCTAATGATGATTAGGGGTTTCTTAATTCTTAATTCGTATTCTAAGTTAAATTAAATATTTGCATTAATGACATGTGCTATGATGTGATGAACTCAATTTGAAAAGGATATTTGATAAGTGGCCCACATATGGGATGAAATGTTATGACCCTTGTGACCATGTGAAAATTACCTGTTTGTTTTCCAGAGGCGTTCAAACAAGTGTGGAAAAATAAGAGGGATGACAATAACCGACAGACCAATGGCAAGAAAGAACAACATAGGATAAATAACAAAAGAAACAAGAGTCGAACAAGTGTAAGTTTAAATATCAGAATCAGGTATTTATATTATCGTAGCCATGTCTTTCCAAATATACAGTGTTTGTTTCAGACATTTAGAAGTGCTCAGGAATAATATATTAATGTAAGTGCAATGAGCCTGACCCACTGTATTATTAAATGTCTCATGGAATATGTATGGTGTTGTTATAGTCAAGTTATGCACCCAAAGTTTCTTTTAATGTATGTTATCTGTCATGCCTTGCTAACTTTTTGCAAGGATGATGTGAGTTATGGTGTGTATGAGTTAGAGTTATTTCAAACATGTTTCATTTTCAATACAGAAGCTTAAGGACAGAGTCAAGGCTCTAGAAAAGAGTAAGAAACCTGACGATTAGAGGCGCAGGGCAAAGGGGATCCTGACAAGGGAGTGTACGTCTCCAGACATATCTGATGAGGATGATGAGACAGTCAAACTTGTGCTGCCTCTGGTGTGGGAATCCCCCATGATGACAGATATAAAAGAACAGCTGGATATCATCAGGGGAAAAGACATGCGTCAGGACCACCTATGCAAGATGCTCAGAGACAGTCCGTCTGGTCGGGTGCCGAATGGGCCATTCGAGGAAGATACAAGGAACAAAGAGGTACTTGCATTATTGGACATTATACATGGCATGTGGATTATCTGCATTCCTTTTTCTGTCTCACAAACATGTGCATCATTCAGTCTTTAGGTTGACATTCAATTACTGTGACATGCCTGGGAGTAATATAGTTATACCAGGGTATTCTGTCCGTCCTTCAGAGGACATCTTTTGTGCGGCCTGTAACTCAAAAACTACTGCATGGCTTCTTTTTTAAATTCAGGGAATAATTTCTGAAAACAATACTGCCTTTTTCATGTTTGGGACTTATTTTTACTTGACTATTTTTGCGAAAACTAATTCATGGATTCTTTTCCAACAATTTTTATGCCATGCGGACAGGTACAATGTTGATTTAAAAAAACAAACATATTATATTAGGACACATATCCACATACCCTTATGATTTATATGCTCAAGGCGCTTTTTGGTGTTCCCTTGGTCTCGAGACACAATCACCTCATACCATATTTACTTTATTATCTGTACTCCCTGGGGAGCCTACTGCAACTGCTTCATTGAGTATTTCTGCATAGATTGTTTCATACTTTGCGCAAAATTGCAGTACCATGCTATTTTTATTTCAATATATTTTAAACAAAATACATGTTTTGCTGATCTTATCTGTGCAACTGAAGAGGTGCGAATTTCATTCCTTAATGTATTGTGGTAGATTATAATTATAAACTTGACCTAAATGGGCAGGGATATATTGGATAATGCCACTATTTTAGTCGAGGTCAGGGGTTAGGAGTCCTGCTCACTTTTTGCCTTGTTTTATTCATTATATACTTGTAGGTGAATCATAGTAATATTCATGTCTGGAATCAGTTCAAGGGAGTATAGATTTCCTTCCTGTAATATTTTCTTCTGTTTGGTTTGAAGCTATTTTTGTTTTTATTAACGTTTTTCATTGATTTGCAGGCAACAACCTGATATCAAGGAGGAGAATCCCATCAACCCCTGAGTCATCACCTCCATCCACTCCATCCACATCCTCTCGAGCCACAGCATCCTCTGCCACATTCTCCTCCACTCCTTCTGACACATCTTGCCAACCAGATGCACCGTCAACCCCTTCCTGAACATCTTCATCTTCAACACCCCTATCAACACCAACACCAACACCAAGACTATTCTGCGACCTTTCCCCAGTTCACAAGTCGAAGAGGAGGAGATCCTTTTAGTTCTGCGCCTTACATCTGTGTGACTTTCTGTTTGACTCTGTTTGACCATCATCCATACACAATATCCATACACAACAATATTTAGATATATGGATTACAACTTCTTAATTTGCTAAACAGTGATGTTTTGGTACAGTACTGTTGTCAAGCAAGGAACTGTTCCAAAATGTCCCTTTTTAGCAAATTAAGAAGTTTAACAACTTATATCTTAATATTGTCATCATTCCAGCTTCCAAAAGCCACTCAAACAACCTATACGCCAACTTATGCACCAAGGTTCACCTAATACAACGTTGATATGTAAAGAAACTTGGGTATATATGCTTTAAACTAAGTACCAGCTGCAGCCTTACCTGATTTTTTCATCAAGATCCTAATACCAGTGCTTATCCTTCACAATATACATCTATTATTACCATTAAAATATTTGACAAGAAACTTACCATTACTGTATGATATTTTGAATCTCCTGATGTAAGTACATGTTATTTACATTTGTTGAGTAGCTTCTCAGTAGCTACAGTGCTGGTCGGTATCTTGGATATCGGAAGCCACTGGCATTAGATGTATTCTTGAATCTGATGTCAGTGGTAAGAATATTTCATATTGTGTAATTTGCAAGTGTATTTTTTTTCCATTGGCTTTATCTTGTCAAGCCCTCATCAATGATATATGTTGTTACATTAATTATTTGTCTATACATGTACATTATTTTCAAGGGTCAGGAATTGAAATGTTTTCAATATAAATAAATTGTTAATATTGCAATAATGTTGTGGTTGTTTGTAAAATGGATTTTTCATTGTCTTCTCAAGGAATGTCCTTGTTTTAGATAGTCTACTTTGTAATGTACCTCTTAAAGGTGTTTGCTCATTTACTGACAAAAGATAAATAAATCATGATCAGTTCAGTAAATAACACCAACTTTTTTACTGAGTCATTTAAGTTTAAAAACATGACTAGAGTATTCAAGTAGTGTTTATTTCCTCCAAGTTTCAGGCCATAGGCCCATAGAACATACATTATATCAATATAGTGTATGCATAAATACATGAAGGGAATATCATACATAAATTATATATTAGTGAATTGTGAGTGACTCGCGTAATCTAAAAGCGTGGTAGATATATTTAGCAAGTTGTGTAATAGTGTATTTACATTTAGAAGACATAAGATTTACAAATTTTTCATATGATGGATTAGTGTGAAAATATGTATCTATAAAATGTAAACGTAATGTTGAATATGAAGTACAAATAAGAAGGAAATGATATTCATTTTCAATGTAGTTGAAGTCCAATTTTTGACATTGTGGGCAAAATCTTTTGTTTTCTTCTATATTGGTATGACGTCCAGTTTCGATCATAAGTTTATGGCAGCTGCATCGGAATCTTGTTAGGGTTTCTTTATAGGTCTTCTTGTTTACTTCCTGAAGATACATTTCTATTGTTAATACCGATTTGAAAGTTAAATATGTTTTAAGTTTTGATTTTTGAGATAGGTTTTCAATCCAACGTTGTTGTCCACAGTCCACGATACGTTGTTTGAATTGTGAAATGAATATTTGCGGATCTCAAACATCTTGAATTTTCCAGGCGTAGCGAAATCCATACTTGAAAAGAATTTTTTTTATATATGTTGCCCAGGATATACGGCCAGCTTCATCTAATTTGTACATCATTAAATACGTTTGCTTCGGTAGACGATCAGTGTTCATAGAGATTAATTTTGTCCAGTATTTAATACATTTACAAATATAATACACATATAATCGTTGTCTTCCAGTTTCACCAAGAACAGCGTCATTGCTTGCATTATTTGGTAGGTTAAGAATCCGTTTGTAATATTTAGTCTGTACCATCTCTATAGTTTCGTTGTATTGGAACCCCCAAACTTCAGAGTCATATGTTAATATTGGTAAAACCATGGATTCGAACATCTTGATTGCAGTTGTGATTGGTAATCCTCCACATAGATAGTTTATTTTATAGATATAATGACATACTTTTTCTGCTTGTTGTGCAAGTGTTGCCTTTGCTTTTGTCCATAGCAATTTAGGATTGAAAAATAGTCCCAAATATTTATAAGATGAAACAGTCTCTATCTTTTCTTCTCTGTAAGTCCAATTTTCATAGTTCTTTAAACGTCCACCATTTCTAAAAACGATTATCTTTGATTTGTTCATATTTAGAGACAGTCCCCATTTTTTACAAAATTAACTTATACAGTTGATCTGTTGTTGTATTCTTCCAGTGGTATCGGCAGTGTTGGCAACATCATCGGCGTATAATAAAGAACAAATATTTGGTGCTTCTTCTGAGATGAATATTCCACGACAGTCAGATTGATTTAGTTCGTTGACCAATTCATTTATAAACAGGCAAAAGAGTGTCGGGCTGATCATGCATCCTTGTCGCGTTCCAATAAAACAGTTAAAATATGCAGTTAAACCGTTATCAGTTCTCACACAAGCTTTGAGTTTCGAATACATATCGCGTAGAATTTTTAGAACGTTTCCATGGATACCATATTTCATAAGCCGATGCCAAAGCAAGTTATGGTGAACAGTCAAACGCTTTTACTGAAGTCAATGAAGAGACAATAAAATCTCCCACCAGTTGATTTTGATAGATATTTCTGTATCATTCCATACAATGTGAAAATACTGTCGACTGTTGAGCGTACTTTTCTAAAACCAAACTGGTTTTCATATATTATATTATTGTCATCATACCATAGCTGCAGGCGTTCGTTGATATTTTTTGTGAATATTTTCCCCAAAACGGGTAATAAAGAAATACCTCTATAATTATTCACACTGTTCGTATCTCCATCTTTATACAGCGGACATATAACTGCTCTGCACCATGATTCCGGATAAACACCTGATTTCATTATCTCGTTAAACAGATGCACACATATAGGAACAATGATATCCAAAGAATTCTGAAATAGTTCAGAAGAAATCCCATCACATCCTGGTGCTTTATTTGATTTCATGTTAATAATGGCTGTCTTCACTTCATCACTTGATATCTCTCTGTTTACGTCTTCAGGCGATCCACGTTCACAAGCCTCACATACATCTTTGTCATGCTGTGATATGTCTGATTTTACTAAATCTTCAATAGATGACTTCGAACTGGGAGAATTTAATAGATTCTGGAAATATGAAAACCATCCCCAAGAAATGATACTGTTTGTTTTCCTGCAACATTTTATTTTCTTGATTGCCTTCCACAGTTTGTTGTTATCACTTTTTATCTCATTAAATCTATCTCTGAGTGAACGCTGAAATTCATCTTGTTTCCGTTTGCATAATTCTTTAAAGGTTCGTCTGTGCTGTTTATATACTTGGTAATCTTCATCTCTATCCGTGTCTCTGAACCTATCCAGTGCAAAATACTTCTCCGACTTCACTCTATCACACTCTGCGTCCCACCATGCAGGCTGAGTTCTGCGCTTTGGGTCACGTGACCCCTGTCGCCTGCTCATCGCAGCAGCAGCTCTCGTGTACAGTCCGCATATGAGATCCACAGCGCTGTCTATATTCACAGAGATAGCTTCTTTGATATCATTTATAATGTTCGAAGAGGTTTCATCATGAAGTAAATCATTAAAACTGATAGCGTGATCTTTATTCCATCCAAACTTATAATAGACGAACTCATCAACATGGTTATCAGTGTCTTCTAGGTTTTTGTTGCTTTTAATATCACAAATGAGAGGAAAATGGTCAGACTTATCCCACTCCAATATCTTGAATTGTTCGATATATGCAAACATGGTTGACGATGTAATGAGGTAGTCCACAACACCAAGACCATTATTTGCAGTGCAGGTATATTCTCCCTTTTGATCCCCTGAAGTTCTTCCATTAACAATATGTATTGAATAGCTCTTACATATGTTGAGTAGTTTCCTTCCAAAATTATTAACTTGTTTGTCTTTATTCAAACGTGGTGAGGAGAAGATGTCACTATCATACCAGGCACTACAGCCATCAGGCAGATAATCAGCACTATCATCTGATATGAAATCCTCTTTTTCGCCTGTTCTGCTGTTAAAATCACCTGTTATCAGAATTTCTGCACCATATTTGCAACTTATTTCACACAAAGCATCTTCAAGTTTATCTAAACTGTTGCCTTCCACATCCATGTAGTAAGATGAGTGCTCTGGTGAAATATACACAAGCCCAATAATAACATCATGTTCTAAACCAAAATAATACATATCTAGAAAAAGAAATACAGCATCTTGGTATTTTGGCAGTATTCTTCTAACACCTTTGCTAAAGGATTTATGCACAAATACACACAACCCACCATGTTTACCTTTCTCCCTACACACAGGGAATATATCATGTGAAGGCAAGAAACCACTGTAATCTGAGTGAGAATATAACCAAGTCTCAGTCAAACACACTATGGGGAATTTAGATAGTTCATATTTGACAGTGTTATCTTTAAAGTGTCGTTTGAGTGAGTAACAGTTCCAGGAGAATATACTAAGTATTTGGTTAATTGGTGACTGTGTAGAGTTCTTACACTGTGTACATGTTGGTTGAGACTGGGCCTGGCCCCATGGCTATCTTCACTTCTTCAGTTCACCTTCTGTTCACATTCACTTCATAAGGAGTGCTGTTTATCACAAGTTTGTCAAAACGAATGAAAGCTTCTTTCCCCTCCTCCCTAGCCTTCACTAAGTGTGGGATTAGCTTTCTTCTCTTCTCCCTCACAGGAAAGCTGAAATCCTCGCTAATATTTACTTGAGAGTGTTTAAGTTTACTTCTTGCTTGTCTGAGAATCTCAGATTTGGATTTATTTCTTGTTAACTTGACGATGATAGGTCTAGGTTTCCCTCCCTCCTTCCTCCTCCCCAGTCTGTGCGCTCTCTCTATCCCCACCTTCTCGTCCCTATCTGCATCCTCTATCTCCAGCTTATCACTGAGCACCTCCCTCACCGCCTCCTCACACTCCCCCCACGTTTCTCTCTCACCACCCTGCGTCTCGGGGATGCCGTAAACTACTATATTGTCCCGGCGGGACCTATTTTCTAAATCACCTGTTTTCATTGTCAAGTCAGTGGTTTTCAGGATTAATGTTTCAGTGAGAGATTCTACTTGCTGCTTTAACAATTTAACTTCCTCCTGTAGCTTCGTGACTAAATCTAAGTCTTAGGGCCTAGGTTTGTCTCTACATCCCCACATCTAGTTATAAAATGTACCTATCTTCACTCTCCAGGTGTTTACGTCGACACCCATATCTCTTTTGATCTTCTTTGTATCTTCCCAATACACTTTTTGAAAAATAAATATTCAGAGCTCGACTTCTCGAATGTTTTCTCAAGGGAGGTCACTCTATGGCTAGGGTATGAGTATATAGTATTATGGTGTTGGTATGTTATTGGTATATTCTTGGAATGGAATTATACCCATTTTCTAAAGTGCATATTTCCTTATATGATGTATGATCATAACACTTTGAATGCATTGTGAAACAGGACCCTCCAGTACAATTAAGCGTTATATTTTCCATTAAACCAAGTTCAAGTACAATGATCACAGAATATTGTGATATATAGATAACCTGACCTGAGTGTCTTCTGAGATTATATATATCAACATTTGTCTGTAACAAAAGCAAAATATCTGAGGCTTAACTTGAATATTTGTACATTTCTTGAAGAATGTTCTATTTCTCATCAATTCGATCCTAAGTTTCAAAATTATCAGAAACAACAGGAGAAGAGGAGGGTTGATTTTACTTCTCAAAATGGAGAAGATTACATTGAGGTATTTTGCTCCACGAGCTAAATACTGCACTAGGTCAAGCGCACGATACTGCAACGGGAGATGATAATATTCATTATCAGCTCCTGAAGCATTTGCCAAATTCATGTTAAGAGACGCTTGTTGATATATTTGATCAGATCTGAACGTCAGAAAATTGTCCGCCTTCGTGGCGTAATGCAATAGTTGTTCCCATACCTAAACCTGGTAGGGCCAAACTGATGCATCCAATATCACTGACCAGCTGTGTGTGCAAAACCATGGAGCGAATGGTAAACAATCGACTGGTGTGGTACTTGGAAACTAACAATCTTATAAGTAACATCCAATGTGGTTTCCGTCAAAATAGAAGTACCATTGACCATCTAGTACGTTTAGAATCCTTTGTCAAAAATGCAATTGTAAATAATCAGCATGCAGTTTCAATCTTTTGTGATTTAGAAAAAGTGTATGATACCACTTGGAAGCATGGTATTTTAAAAGATCTACATAATTTGGGGTTAAGAGGCCGTTTGCCTCAATTTATATCCCAATTTTTAACAGACAGACAATTTCAGGTTTGTGTTGGTTCCACCCTGTCTGACCATTATAACCAGGATCAGGGAGTCCCACATGGCAGTATTTTGTCTGTAACTCTGTTTAGTATAAAGATTGATAGCCTGTCAAGAGTTTTAAATGATTCCATTGATGGTTCACTTTTTGAGGATGATTTTAATATTTCATGTCGTGGAAAAAATATGCATACCATCGAGAGACAGTTGCAGCTTTGTCTCAACAAAATCGAAAAATGGTGTCTCGAAAATGGTTTTAAGCTTTCCAAAGCTAACACCAATTATATTCATTTCTGTAGGAAATACAAGCATCATAAAGATCCAGAGCTATTTTTACATGGCACTCCTATTAAGGTTGTTAAAGAGGCCAAGTTACTGGGTCTCATTTTCGATCACCATTTGACTTTTAAGCCACATATTAATTATCTTAAAACAAAATGTCTGAAGGCCCTAGATTTGTTGAAAGTTGTTGCTAATACAAAATGGAGAGATGATCAGACAACCCTCCTACACTTGCATAGGTCTCTGATCCGCTCTAAATTAGATTTTTGCTCCATCGTTTATGGTGGAGCCTGTAAGAGCAATTTACAAAAGTTAGATTCGATTCACCATCAGGGCCTACGGCTCTGTCTTGGTGCAATTCGAACATCCCCTGTTGACAGCCTACATGTATATGTAGAAGCTGATGAACGGTCATTGAAGCAACGCAGTATCAAATTATCACTACAATACATTACTAAATTACATGTACATTCTAATCCATTAAACATACAACTGTGTTTTTCAACCACTTCCAACGAACAACTTTTTCACAGTAAGCCTAAGCTGGTCCCACCACTAGGCATTCGGATTAAACCCCACATCACAGCTGCAAATATTGAGTTAGATAATATTTCTCCTTTAGGGCTTCTGTCTTCTCCTCCTTGGCAACTTATCAGACCGGAGGTGGACTTGACTCTCACACAATTTAAAAAATCAGACACAAATCAATTAATATAACAGCAAGAATATATACAAGTTAGAACTAAATATGAATCCCACCATTCAATTTTCCAAGGACGGTAGCACAGTCTCCAGTGCTGTTGTCATTTGATCCAAAACCGTATCATACCGATTACCAGACCATAGCTCAATTTTCACTGCTGAAGCCAAAGCAATATTAACTGCTATGGAATATATCCAAAACAGTCCAGTTGTAAACGGTTCATATCAAAGACCTAATGCAGAAGAAGTGGGACACCCAAGTAGATATTAACAAATTACATGCAATAAAACCAACTATTGGTTACACCTACTTGGGTTGTCAGTCCAGATTTGATGAGGTCATTATGCGACGATGTCATATTGGCCATTCGCGTTTTACACCTTTTATTTATTAAAAGGTGAAGATCCTCCAATCTGTGTCCCTTGTGATGAAAAAATCACAGTTAAGCATGTCCTGCTTGACTGTATTGATTTTTCCATCACAAGGGGTAATGTCTTCCAGGTTTCATCCATGAAGGATAATGTCTTCCAGGTTTCATCCATGAATGATCTTTTTAATCAGATAAGGACTCGTTTAGTTCTTGGTGTTTTAAAAGACATTGAGTTAATATATAAATTTTGATAAGATGTATTGGTGGCTGTGCCTCTAAAGGGGGTTGAAGTAACGTTAAATAATTGTCCCCCTGAGAGGGTACGTAAGTCCCACTTCATTCAAAGTATGTTTCATTTCCATGTTTTTAATCGTAGAATTCTTGGGTTTTTTTTAATGATTTGGCTAAAACATATCAACAGTGGCCATAGGGATTGTGTAAATCCTGCTGAGGTACCATGTAGGTAGCAGAATTAGCGTAAGTCCCCAAGGGTACCTAGTATGGTGACCGACCTTTGGTTATCGGTGATCTATAGCCCATTTTTATTGTGTACTGTTATGAATTGTTCAAATGTTATGATGATATGCTAGTTTTAAATCTACATCTGTGATAGTCTAGTGTTTTTACTGTCCTTTGTCGGCAGAGTTTAATGTCTATATTTATGTATTATTAATATACAACTTGATTTAGTCACGATATGGCTGAAATATTCCCGATGTGACTATAAATCTTAACTCATTCACTCACTCCATCAGTTAGTATTACAATAGAGGGGAATCATTCACCGAGTGATTAGTTGCTTTGTGTTTTTCGAACCTCTTTAACACATACTTACATCATGGGAATGGGCTCATATAACGGGAAATCATAAACCAACAAGGATAAAATAATGTTAATGTAGAAACATCTGGCAAGTCAATTATCTGATGCAAGTATAATCAAGTTTTTGTCCCGGGTTTGGGAACTTGATTATACCTTAATAAGAAGAAGAGGAACGATTACAGTCAAGCAGTTTACTGTCAGTGGTGTTGTGTTTTATAATACAAAATACAAGAGACATAATAGCAATACATGATACATAGAATGATAATAGTATGAATACATGAAACATATAGAATAATGATAGAACGATCGAATAAGCAACGGTTATAATACTTGAGGGGGAAAGCTGGAAAGGTAGGGGATATAGCTATAGGTAGAGCTAAGCACTCTTTCAGAGAGAGCATTACATCCTGACACCAACATTATGACCTGTGACTGCATTTGTAAGTAACGTCACTATAAATACGCTTGGCTTATTACGCCTGAAGTAAGACGCGCTATTTACTAAATGTAGATAGACATATACGCGATAAATGATAATAACAATAACCTCAAACCAAGTATAATAAAACATGTAGATGTAGGATATGAACGATATTGATAATCAGAGTAGTTTCATTTGCATGGAGTTGACTTATCACGATGTTAGATTTGATTTCTAAGTTCATCAATGCTTTGTCATCGTGTGTATCAAAATATGAAAAAGTAACAGTTTCTGTAACGGCCGAACATTAGATATACAGACTAACTGTCTGTGTCTTTATCGTTCAACATACCGCCCGATTAACGTTACTTTCATGACATTTATTTGATACATATTGTATTCTGATACCATGTATATTCGCATATTGATAATGGAAAATCATATTCAATTAATAGGTAATTATTGCTCATTTACGGACACATGTGGTGCTAAACACATTTCATAAAACATACAAAGTATAGTAAACATCTATTCATAATACATACAAGTTCTGGTAAACAAATATCTAAAACAGACACGTTATTGTGTATGATCTTTCATACGTACATAGGTAATAATGAACGCTTCATTATTTACACATACAAGGGACCCGTGCACATGCACAGTGCAAATATGTCTCCCCAATCTTACATTAGCTTGTTAGAGTTAACCATCTATAGAAACACAGACTATCTAGAATATATCACACACATATATATAATATAGGACCAAATGTATCAAATAATAAAATGTTTCTTACCTTAATAAGAAGAAGAGGAACGATTACAGTCAAGCAGTTTACTGTCAGTGGTGTTGTGTACTGACCAGTGGAGATACTTGACTTTTATAGTAATCGCCTCGTACATTTTGACTTTGAGTGATTCCCTAGTCAATGAATTGTGCATTGTCTTCATCTAGTTCTTGACCGACGGACGATATGTCACGAGGTAGTGATGCTGTATTATTACATAATAATAACTTCTACGCCGGCGCGACTACGGCCTCTGGACAATAGAATTCACTCAGCGCGATGGGTTTGATGGATACGTCCATCTTACATCACTGTAGACTGCTATGTAGCTGTCAGTGTTC